TGGTATTCCCCGCAACAGCCAATCACAGGAAGGTATTTCCGGAAGCTCCGCCTCCTTATGGACTCAACACATCGCTCTAGCTCATGGCTCGCTGTTTCATCTCTTGTATATACAAACTATGACTTTTTTCGATTACTGTTATAATTAATAATACGCGATCTAAAAGTTTTTTACACAAAATGGCTAAATTCTGCCATTAAATGGACTGTGTCTGGTATACATACAAACATACACCAATTTATTACCATTCATCCATTATTAATTTCAAATGTAATGTATACTGTCTAGTTTTTTTTCCTCTCGCCATTACTTGGTGCAATATTTGAAAGTTGTCTATTTATTTATCGATCTATCTATTATCTTGTATTTATATTTACAAGTTTCTGTGCTTGGAAGAAAACTCTGCATTGAATTGGGACTAATTTATTAAATAATATTATTTAGTATTAATTAATATTTACAATTATTATTAATTACAAATATTTATAGCTTAGATACTTTCATGTAATTCGCAATCGTACGTTCTTAACATTAATAGCCCAAATTAGCACATCTTGCTTTGAAATTAGCCCAAAAAGTAGCAAGTAGCGAAATTAATAATTTGGGAGCGCTGTGCCTCTCGATGTCGTGAGAATATTAGCAATAGGCTCAGATAAAGAAATATTAATTTATGTTAACACTACCGCTAGTGAAATTAATAACTACTGTAATTAGTATATAATAATGATGTATTATAATACAATGGTAGTGTGTTACTGTTGGAAATTTCCAACAGTTTGGGCAAAATGTGACCCATCGCCGTTTTCAGTAATTAGCATATTTTCGGTATAAAAGGTCGTAATTGGAAAAATGAAAATAGGTGCAGAGAGTCAGAATTCGGCTCAAAAATCACGCTCAGGAGTCAAATTTCCGACATTTGAGATATTTTGAAAACTGCAGGGGGGTTTGGGCAAAATATGACCCATCGCCGTTCTCAGTAATTAGCATATTTTCGGTATAAAAGGTCGTAATTTGAAAATGAGAATAGGTGCAGAGAGTCAGAATTCGGCTCGAAAATCACGCTCAGGAGTCAAATTTCCGACATTTCAGATATTTTGAAAACTGCAGGGGGGTTTGGGCAAAATGTGACCCATCGCCGTTTTCAGTAATTAGCGGTATAAAAGATTTTTTCGGTATCAAAAAACGCTCAGAGTCAAATTTCGTGAAAACTGCAGGGGGGTTTGGGAAAATCGCCGTTTTCAGACAATAGTCGGTGAAAATAGGTGAGAGTCAGAATTCGGCTCAAAAATCACACTCAGGAGTCAAATTTCCGATATTTCAGATATTTTCAAAACTGCAGGGGGGTTTGGTCAAAATAGGACCCATCGCCGTTTTCAGTAATTAGCATATTTTCTGTATAAAAGGTCGAAATTTGAAAATGAAAATAGGTGCAGAGAGTCAGAAGCTCAAAAAGACGCTCAGGAGTCGGACATTTCAGATATTTTGAAAACTGCACAAAATATGACCCTTAGTTTTCAGAGCATATTTTCGGTATAAAAGGTCGTAATTTGAAAATGAAAATAGGTGCAGAGAGTCAGAATTCGGCTCAAAAATCACACTCAGGAGTCAAATTTCCGACATTTCAGAAAACTGCAGGGGGGTTTGGCAAAATAGGACCCATCGCCGTTTTCAGTAATTAGCATATTTTTGGGCGAAATTTGAAAATGAAAATAGGTGCAGAATATGACCCATTGCCGTTTTCAGTAATTAGCATATTTTCGGTATAAAAGGGCGTAATTTGAAAATGAAAATAGGTGCAGAGAGTCAGAATTCGGCTCAAAAATCACGCTCAGGAGTCAAATTTCCGACATTTCAGATATTTTGAAAACTGCAGGGGGGTTGTAATAGGAGTGCCTCCACTCCCGTCAAGCACAACTAGATGAGTACATCTCCAGAATGCAGCCTGCATCAGCTGTCTAACTTCCAGGTATACCTGTTTACTGTTAGTTCAACAGAGGCATCAAGTGAAAGAAATTCGGCCCATTTATTTCCTTCTCGGTCGGGAATCGAACCCGGTTCCGTGGACTGCGAATCTTAAACATTGTCCACTCGACCGCGAGACCCTTCATGTCCCTATTTTTGTTTATATAGTTTACAGTTAGAATACTAACAGTTGAGAGATTCATTACCTGCTGCCACTTACTATTAGTAGCGATATCTTAACTTAATCCTGACAATTACAATGTCACACTGTCTAGTGAATATGTTGTGCTGTCCGTACAGCCGTACATATAATAAATAAAATAAATGTTTATTTAGGTAAGGTACATACATACAAGAGATTTTACAAAAATTGATAGATTTATAGATAGAGCTAGTACATACAATGCCTAAAGCCACTATTACGCAAAGCGTTTCGGGCAGGAAAAACATTAAAGACTAAAACTTAATACTACTTAATATAATGACTAATATAGTCACACTCTGATTTGTTACACCGATAAGAAGAACTAAACAACTCGGTAATTCTGAACGAAAACTTGTGGACTTGTTCGGTACAAATACAGATATTCGATTTGACGATAAAGCTGAAGCTCACACAACAATATAATCTATGCATTTACACAAAGGATCCCCAGACTGTCCCTAGTTAAGATATGGTGGCTGGATAGGGTAAGAGTGGAGGTGGAGGCGAGGGAGGAAGTATTGTGAGGAATGAGACATTGTGGGAAAGAGTGAAGGACGAGGGTGAGTAGGTCAGCTGCTTGAAGGTGATCCCTCCAGCTCCTGCCTCCTCTGGGACACGCGCCACCTTCAGGACACACGCCTCCTGCAGGGGCACACACGCCTCCTTCAGGACAGCACATCTCCTCCAACGCGCTCCCAGAGATACATACTGAGAAATTAAACAAGGTAGAGACCGTATAATATGTAGATAGCATGTGATATTTGGTGTGCAGGGCTGGGCTGGTTATCAGAGCCAGGTATGCAAGACTGCACGAGATATGCAATAGTATCAACGAGGTTTCAACACACTGTATTTGCACTCTAAATAATTAAAACTAAATTGTAACAAATTAACTGTCAAAAGTGATCTGGGAGCATGAGGTGGGTGGACTAGTTATGGAGTGAGGAATGTGTGAGGAACAAGGACAAGGCTGACCTACATACCTGCACTTCACACCAGGACAGACACGTGTCATGTGTAAGCTTAAGTATTTGGCTGGAGTGGTAGCAGTTTAGTACATTGTTATGAGTACTGCAGGAGTAGGACAGTGCTATTGGTAGTAGTTCATGTGTGGAATAATTTAATTTGTTTTTTCAGCAAGATTTTAACATTTTACTCTTTAGTTGGGATTGCAGAAATTATCTCCTGTTGGTGTTTGTGCTGCTCGCAGGTAGAGTGTAACTGAGTGTACAGTGAATGAATCGTCAAATACAGTTAATGTATTTGAAATTAAAACACTATTAATACCAGGAACTATACTTTAAAATTTACTGAAATATATATATTTTTCAATAAATATGCAGTGTAATTACATGCAATAAATAAAACTGAAGTTGTGGGAGAATGTGAACTTTCAGGAAATGGAATATTCCATGAGCAACATAAGTACAGTATGTGTGTATCGTGGCCTCTACTCTTAATTTAGGTACAGCATTTACGTCTGTTCTCATGGTGTGGTATATACACAGATATAGATCCGTCTTGCCCATTATGTAAACATAGGTTACATACTATTGTACTGCCAGTCGCGGTGCATATCCTGACACCATCAGACTGTTTAAACATCAGACAAATGAAAGGAGAGCCACTAGATCTTTAAGTTGCAAATTATCTGTTATGCACGTACTGTTAGAAACACTAACTCTCTTGCTAAACTGTTGCAGTTTATATGAAATTCCAGGATAATAAGGCATGCATTTATTTCTGCATGCAAAGAAGGTCTAAACTCTTTAAGTTAGGGCCAACTCCTTCAGGGTACCAAGAGAGAGATGGGCACTGAAGCACACAGTAATAATCAATGATATACCGTACCTGTATATAAACTTGTCAAGTTACAGTGATGGAGTAATTTATGAGACAGTCATGGTGCAGTGAGCCATATGGTCAGGCTTGTGGCAGTCTCTTGTCGAATGGAGAATGTTGAGCAGATGCGATGAATCTGGTGAAAGAAGTGATTTCTAGTTGGATTGACCTCTGACTTGCTTAGCTGTTGATTGATTGATGAAGATTGAGCCACCCCTAGAGTTGGCAAGGGCTTGAGTAGCCAGTAAGGATTAGCTGTGTGTTTGGCTGCTTTATATAGTCAGCCAAAGCTGTAGCCAGATTAATGGTGCTTCCAAATTGGCTGCCAGCTGAGCAGGAAATAGTTGTTTGAACTGAGGAGTAGTTATATACTGTGGAAGCTGCTGTTCAAGACGCTACAAATGTCATAGTAAACTGTCATAGTATACTGGCATGGCATTGTCATAGTAAACTATGTAGATTTCATTGCTTATGTGCAGAGGCAAATCCCAGGTTTCACTCTTCAGAGTTCATTCAGTTAATACTGATTTAAGAATTAATTTTTAATGAAGGACAACAACAAAAATACACACACAATGGGCAATTTTTAAATGAAGATTAATATTTATGTACAATTTCTTGGGAAGTACCATAACTTTGTTTTATTGGGAAAATAAATAAACAATTTTCTTGGCACCTAGACTGAAGTTGGTTATGGTAGGGAATGCCAGTTTTTTGTGATGTGACCATAGCCAACTTAAGCAGCAAAATGGTTAAGTAGTACAGTACTGTACTACTTAATCATTTATCTGTAATCATATTAAGCCCTACTTTATATTTTTTTGAGGAGCTTTATATTTATATCAGGAGCACAATTTATTTTAATAAGTGTTTGTTCTCATTTCTCTGTAGTACTGTATAAGTCTCAGAAACACTACAAAATGGCAGTTGACGATGATGGAGATGTGCTGCCAGATCGTGATGCAGCTAAAGGATTTTATGCTAAATATGAGCCAAAGGAAATTCTTGGGCGAGGAGGTTGTTCTGTTGTTCGTCGCTGCATTGGTATGTATAATTCTTTATTAAGCATTATCATAGCATTATAGTTAACAAGGCACATCCATAATAGACTAGAATGTAATTGGTTGCCATATGCAGATGATCATTCTTCTCTAAAAAATATTTTATTTATTATAACAATAACTTTCTTTGCAGAAAAGGAAACTGGCCAACAGTTTGCTGCCAAAATTATTGATCTGAGCGACTCCTCTGATGAGGGTGTGTATGAAGCCACTATTCGGGAAATAGATGTATTGCGCATGGTAGCAGGGCATCCATATATAAGTAAGTACATGTTAAATAATATGCTGTACTGTATTAAGAGAGTAGAGGTAATATTTTTAGCACCTGGTAATCTCTGATGCTTGGAGAATTCAGTACATTTGTATGTGTGTTACTATTTATTTGATCTTTCTAAATGGGTACCTTTTAGTTTTTACTTAATTATGTGGTACATTTCTTTAAAAAAAAAAAAATGTGATGCAAGATATCTGGAGATTTACATGTTTTAACTTGAAACTCTCAACAATTATTATGCTACTGGATAAACCTATAAATCTTGATTGCAAACAATATCCTAGAAAGTTTTACGTTGGATTTTCTGAGCAAGGCTTCCCTTGATTACTGTTGTGAGTCAGGGCCATGGGTCCACCTAAAGTAATGCTAACACACCAAGCTCTGGGCCACTTTGTTCAACTGAGACATCTAACTTTTTAAATTGCCTTGTCCTGTTGTACAGAGGTGTTGTACACTAGATAACATTCCTCAATCCACTAAAGAACATGAAACTTTGGTGATACCAAAGAACATATCAAACCACCAAATGATCATTGAAACCACTAAGACCACAAATTACAGTACCACACTGAAGATGCAGAATTAGCAACTTCCCAACACTGACCATCACAAGATGTAAGCAATAGCTAGTACATTCAGGTCGGAGGAGGTAGCATTTCATATTTTGTGCCTTGTATCAATCATGCAAAGCTCTTAAGTTCTGCAGAGGCTGTTTCAGTGAAGCTGACAGGTTTTTCTTAGAAGCTTAGGTTTTGTATTCAAAGTTTCATGCCTTGGTTTTCATTTCACGGAATGGTTCGAAGTCATTGTGAATTTTAATACCCTCAGCATAGTCTGACTCCTTTTGAGTTGGGCCACTGCCTTGGTGGGGGGCTTTTGGGATTTTGTATCTAGATCAAAGTCTTGATGCTGGTTTTGTTTACCAACACTACAGATATGTAGTCTTATTGGTTTAATTATGTGCTAACCTTAGATAGCCAGATTTTTCACATGTGCTCACGTGAATGATTTTGATTTTCTGGGAAAGTTCTTCTGTATCTCCTAGAGCTACCCACCCGGAATCCTCCAGATCCATGTACCACACCAGGCTCTAATGAACAATGAATGATCTTGAATGTTTACCATAGACTAGGAACAGAATCTGGCCACCTCAGTAGAGGCATAACAAAATGTGAAAGCAAGATAACCTTACTGAAGGAAAAATCCACCAGACAGGTAGAGTGTACCGAAATAAGCAACTGCTTGGATAACGTTTGCAACCTGATCTGAACAATGTACTCATATTGTTCAGGTGCATCTTCTAGTTGGCTCCACTTCCTTGCTGCCAGATGACAGCCCAGGCAACCTGAGGAACCTGGACAGCAACAACAGTCATTTATGCACTTGCTGTGCTTGTCTGCTGTCCTCTTGTTGTCTCCTAACTGTGCAAACCCTTACCTTTTCAGCTAAGCGTTGTCCATTCCTTGAATTCTGTTGTGTGCTTGGTCTTTTACTGATTTTTACTGTTTCATTTGTGTGTTTTGTTACTTGTCTCGGCTGCATGTGGTCAGAGTTGGCTTCTCTTGTTGTCACTGGTGTTGCCCCTGTCCTCAGTCAAGGTCATCTTCCTGTGAGAGGGTTCAGGAGTCTGCCACCTGGGGTTACCTCTCGAGGGGCTTCTTCATGAGTAGTGTATGGGCTTTGGCTCCTATTGGACTCTGTGGTTGGGGTGGGTGGGAGTTTGTTTCTGTTGGTACATTGTGTGTAATTGGCAAATCTAATTACCTAAGTGTAGTTACAGGACGAGAGCTACACTGGTAGTGTCCCATCTTCCCAGTACTCTTTGTTGTTTAACGCTTTGAAACTACCGACGGTTTTGGCCTCCACCACCTTCTCACTTAGCTTGTTCCAACCGTCTACCACTCTTTTTGCAAAAGAAAACTTTCTAATGTTTTCTCGGCACCTTTGTTTCCTTAGCTTGAATCTGTGTCCTCATGTTCATGACGTTTCTGGTTTCAGGAATTCCTCTTTGTCAATTTAGTCGATTCCTGTTAGTATTTTGTAAGTGGTGATTCTATCACCTCTTTTCTGGGGGGAGCCCCTTCAGCTCCCCGGAGCTATCCAGGCTGATATGAATATCATTAGACTTTGGCATCAGTCAGCGTGAATGGAGTTCAGCATCTTCATTGTTGTTGGTGCCTCTCATTATTTGAGTATCTGGTGGAATTCTTGGCTGTGCCTCTCATTATTTGAGTATCCCTGTGCCCCTGGGCCCTTCTCTTTTCCTGATGTCAGGCCTTGGGGAGCCTGTAAGGAGGCCCACAGTAGTGCCCATGCCTTTTTAAGCATGGGCACTACTTTTTAAGTCCTGTGGACTACAAACACCTTGAGTGTTCTGCATTTTTACTCTGGGGCCTCCTCAGAAGGCATTTCTAGAGACCTGCTGGTTTGTGGATTTGCCTCCCCTTTGTTGGGCATCTTGTTTGCTCACGAAGACAAAAAAAGTCTTCTGGAAAAAATGGAAAATGGCATCACACAAGGCTCTGTCCTAGGACTGATGCTGTTCCTAGTCTATGTAAGTAACCAACCCAAGATATTTAGTTCATGTGTGTCAGTATTTGCTTATTACACAAAACAAATAAGTAGAACCTGTGAAGTGCTGTAGTGTGTTGCAGGAAGACCTTAAATTCCAAGAGTGGGCACTTAAATGATTGTTGAAGTAATTGTGGGAAGCCGGCAGCAGGTGTAAGGAAATGTGTCCAAACGTATCTGTCCTGTGCAGTAATGAGACCCAGGAATTTCCAGTTGTGAGCTGACTGCATGTGATACTTAATCAGCACCTTCGCTTTTCAAACAGGAATTTTACAAGTTAATATCTTGGCTTTCACAACACTGTACTGTATGAGTTGCCAGCACTTTGTTAGGTGTATATATAAACTATGAAGATTGGTACAATATATGAAATTGATGTTGTATTATCTTCTTTTTTCAGTTGAACTTCATGACGTATTCGAATCATCAACATTCATATTTTTAGTGTTTGAACTTTGTGAGCATGGCGAGCTGTTTGATCACCTTACAACAGTGGTTACTCTCTCTGAGAAGAAAACCAAGTAGGTATCTGCAAAATTATTCTTTCTCATTTACACATTCAAACACTTAGTTTTCGTAACTACCTAATGTAACCTAACCTTGCCTCGAGCCTGGCTAGGACTTGGATCACATAGGTACCTGAATGTGGCCATTGACCTGGATGTCCTTTCCCCAAATGTGTACACAAGTATGAATAATGTATAATGCAGTGGAAAGTCACTTGAAAACACATTCATACTGGATTCTCATTACCCAGTGAACTTCACTGGGTTAATTTTTTTAACAACAATTACAGTACAGTATTATAATGCATTTTTTAATAAACAGGAATATGTACAAAAATGCTATTTTCTGGATCTAATACAGTACTCTGGCATTAAAACTTATAAATTTCAGGTATCAGTATTTTATGATCAAGAGTTACTTGTACAGTAAAGTACTTTAAATATTATGTAAGTTGGTGTTACATACAAGTCAATGGTTCTTAACACTGAAATAATTCTTTTCATGATAGTTATGTATTGGCAATGTACAATTTTTTAATTCTTACTCCTCAGGCTAATCATGCGACAACTGTTTGAAGCACTCGCTCATGTTCACGGGAAGGGCATTGTGCATCGAGACCTTAAGCCTGAGAATATTCTTTTAGATGACAACTACAATATCAAGCTCACTGATTTTGGCTTTGCAAAAGTACTGCAACCAGGAGAAACATTAACAGGTATGTTGCATTAACAGTTTATCTGCAGTGCTTTGTAGGTTTATCCCCCACATTATTCTTGAGACTTTAGACCTGCATGTACAGAGGCGCTATCATGGTGATCAAGGTAGTTTTGTATGAAATTTTCCTTATAATATGTTTGTTTAAAAGGATAAAGAGTCCTTTAGTCCTGGTGCCGTTTATGATTTGTATCTTAATTTAGACAAGCACTGAAAATTAAGTTAAAACTGTCTTCGCTCGGTAATCTGAATCATGTGGGGCCCAACCCCATTTAAATTAACCAAACATTTGACTTGGCCGAATTTCTTACCAGGCATTTCCAAACATGATCAAATTGTTTTTTGTACCACAATGAACATAATTCATATTTCCACAGGCAAACTCCTGCCGTTTACTCAAAAACGATGTGTATTTCATAATACACATCGTTTTAACGATGTGCTTTATAAAACGATACACATCGTTTTAACCCAAGTGATGTGTGTGTTTTTATGCTCAAAACAAATTTTAACTCAAATTCTTTTTCTGGTTAAAAAGTCAAGAACTCGAATGAAAATGTATTGGTCGAGTTACAGAAGTTTGGATTACCGAGCTCTTACAGTATCAAGAACAATTGCTTTGCTTTTCAACTGTACTGTACAGTGTACTAGGTTCTTCTGATTACTTTGGCTAGCAATTTCTTTGCTTTATATTTAACTCTTCC